CCCCTCCCTTCGGGGGCGGGGCAGCACCCACACCCACCTCGTGTGGGGGCTGGGGTAAGAGGGGCTTACCGCCCTTGCCCCATCCTGGGGGTGGGGGAGGGGGTCCCCCCCAAAAAACTACCCACTCAGGTGACGGGCGGGGGAGGGGTGGGGGTTTGCCCCCGTCCACAAGGGGGTAGCACGACTTTCTGCCCCCAGCATCCAGCTCTGCAGCATCTCCCGGCTTGGTCAGAAGTGGCATCGTGATGGTCTGCCGCCTCGGTTTTAAGGGCCGGGCATCATCCACAGCGGTGCTGGTGGGGAAGGGGGGAGCAGCGTGTAGCCTCAGTGCTGGCACCGGGGTCCTGTCCTGCAAAACGGGGTGTTACCCTGCTCCCCCCGCATCCCTGCTGCAAGTTGATCTTGCCAGGATCGAAAGCGGGCTGCGCCTCTCTCTTCCTAGCTGTATTTTTTTCCCCGTTTGCGCACAATGTAATCTTGAAGCCTGAGTCTCTACAGGCCCATAAATTTACACGGGGAAGCTCAGCTAAGCTCTGGTGGTTAATCCAGAAGTGACAGTGAACGGATCTAATTGTTGGTTTGGAAGCGGTTGGTGTTATCAAACGGAGAAACCGGAGGTGAGAGTTCAAGGCCTTCGGTGAGAAGTCGCAGGACGTAGTCATTTGTGTCAACGAATAGGTTTAAATTTCATTTTATTGTAGGCGGCTGGGCAAAAATCAGATTCCCTGTATTTCCCAACGGAGCAAATTGAAATGTTTTGGTGGGGGGCATTTCATTATAGGGATCTTTTCAGCTATTGGTTTAAATCAGAGCTGCTCGACCCCTGACCTGAGAGCCGGATATGGCCTTCAGGGCTGCGTCATCTGGCGCTCTGTGTGGGTCTGGAAATTTGACATTGGGGTACTAGCGTCAGTTAACCCTGTCACTGCTTCCATGCATCTGGATCAGATCTGGGCCTTGCACAGCTGGATCGAGCCCATGGGTCAGATCCAGCCCACAAACTGAGTTGCTATCACTCATCTGGTCCTCAAAGCAAAAAGGTTGGGCACTGTTGATTTAAATCCTGATGATGGCTAATCAGACTTTTACCTAAAGAGAAGGTCAAGTACGATTTCCACTTTAAACTCCACTGTTGTTTTACATTTCACTTAGCTCTTCCTAACCTGATTTTAACTAAGAAATATATGGGATTTTTCAGTCATTTCAGCTATTATGAGAAACCTTTATAAATTGCAGTTACTCTTCTCTGGAGCGGGGAGGTAATTGGATGCAATAGCAAAATTTAAGGCAGGGTTACAGCTATTTAGTGCATGAAGCTATAGAATAGAATGGATCTGTTGGAAAGAATTCTTACTTGAATACCATGGGAATGATGTCAAGAGGTTTTGCCCACCGAGGTCAGGGTTTAGGCAGACTCTCGCTACTTGCATTATCTCATGCAAGGTTCCTTTGTTTTGAGTAAAACACGGTTTGTCTTTTTGTTGGAATCTCAAGATTTGTAAGCCTAGGCAAAGGGCACCTTTTTTGGGAGACAGACAGAGGGGACCTTAGTCTTTCATGCTGAGTTGTAGCCCATGGAGGTGACAGGACCAATGTGCAAAAGAACAAAATGATCTACTGAGAGAACTTAAAGACAACTCAGAAAAATGGTGGTTAAATGAAAGAGAGAGCCCCTGGCTTAGACTTGAGGGATCAACAGATATATGAAGATGTTTTATGTTGGAGCTGGTAGCCTAAATCAATACTCTTAAAATCATTTGACCCTTAATGAGTTGTTTTTTTTCAGTTAAGGAGCTGGATGAGAGCTTAGAAAATCATTGTTCAGTTCCTGGCTCTGCCATGGACTTCCTGTGTAATCTTCAGCAAGAAGCTTAGGCCAAGATTTTGAAAGGTGACCTGTGATTTTTCAAAAAGTGCTGAGCATGCACCCTTTGAAAATCACACTACTGTAAGCTATACTAAATTGGATGCTCAAAATCACTATTAACTATCTGTGCCTTAATCTCTGGTGTTATTCTTTATAGGTAAAATGGGGATAATCTCTTTTCTGCTTCCTTTATTTGCTAGAATATCAGCATTTCAGGGCAGGGACTATCTCTAACTACATATGTATTCAGTGCCTAGCATAGTGGGGACCCTGATCTAATTTTGGGGCCATGCATGCATGTGTAAAACAAATAGTGAGGAATAATATTCCCGTTCAGAATGCCAGCTGACAGTTGACTGGGTCACACCTCCATTTTGAAATTGAAAACAAATACATTTTCCCTGTAAATCTTAGTTAAGTGGAAATAAAAATCAAAAGCTGTCCTGCCTTCGTGTGAGTTTGAAGTTCCAGTCTCTAGCTTTGGGCATTTAAGTGCACTCTGAGATGATCATGGCTGCTGCTTTAGTTTGTATAATGTTCACACTTCTGGTCTAGTAAGTACGTAGATAAGACTCTCAGGTGAGTTGTTTCTTCTGAACTCGTCCTAAAAGTCTTTCAGTTTTCTGTGTGGTTAATTACACTGACCTGTCCTCTGCAGCATACATCTATCTCCTATAGTCTCCTAGGTGAAACAGATCTGCAGTAATATGTGCATCATCTTAATAAATTTCACCTGTTTCTTCCATGCTATATGTAGTAGCATTTTTGTTCCTTGAATAGAGCACTTGACTCACCTATGTCTAGTGTTATCTGTTTAATATTAATTGGTTTAGCAGTTGCAGGTGCAGTTCAGCTGCCTCAAGTGTGGGAGGCTGTACCAACACACATGAAAGCAAAGTTCCTGCCCTTAAGGAGTTTGATTTTTTTTTTTTTTTTCTCAAAAGTATTTATGAAATATGTAGTAAATACTGTGGAACATCAGAGTTTTACTTTCTTGTAAATTACATGATTCTTTTGCTAGAAAATAGACACAATATTGCATTCATATAATTCCACATGAGCACAGTGCATGAAAATCAATTGGTGTATGAAACTTACAATGCAGCTAAACTGTCCTTAGTTCCTATGAGAACTTTAAAAACGGTAAATCAAGTGCTGTTGTAGTAAAAAAATGGCAACTTTAAAAATTGATGTGCACATAATCTAACCTAGTGATTCACAATCTAATATCTTTTTTTTTTTTTTCTGCCAATGCTGAAAATTCTACCTGGGATCTGAAAATCAGATTGCTGTGGTCTGACATACCTATGATAAAGATTTTGCAATAAAAACTTAGCTGGTGATGCATGAGACAGAAAAGCCCATCTCTCTTCTATAACTGTATTGACTCTGCAGTGTTAGTTTCATCAAACTAAGTAGGTATGACTTGGAGACAGAATAGATTTATGGTGGTAGGAGCCATTTTTAAAATCACTTTTCTGACTGACTACAGCGTCGTTTTAGAGAATTTGTCTGGGTGTCATAGACATCTAATTTTCTTTAACAACTTACAGCTATGGATCTCAAAGCTGTGTAAAAGTGTCATCACTACTACATTAATCGTTATTCTGCACCTCTCTTCCCCTTCCAGTGCACAGTACAAGTGAAGCTGGAGTTAGGGCATCGAGCCCAGCTGCGGAAAAAGCCCACCACTGAAGGGTTTACTCATGACTGGATGGTATTTGTCCGTGGCCCAGAACAATGCGACATCCAGCATTTTGTGGAGAGGGTGGTCTTTCGGCTACATGAGAGCTTCCCAAAGCCGAAACGTGGTGAGTATATTTTTGGGAGTGTCTGGTTAACCAGCATTCAGTCTCCTTTGTATGGCTGGTCACTGTGCAGTCTAGATTTTCCCTTGCACTGTTAGGTTTCTGTAAAATATTTTCTTAAGGAGGAGCAAAACATAAATTGCATACATGCAAGCCTTGACCTTTGCAGGTGACTAAAATCCTTAAAATATTGGGTGAGGATGGGCCTAGGGACTCCTCTGTCTTTGTCACTGAGTAGCTTTCAGAATTTCTGCAAGTCCTGCCCTTTCACAAATGCCATTTTCAGCTCAGTACTTAGTATTGTAGTAACATAGTATTTAGCATCAGGATTGGTGACAGGCCTCATTTTCCTAAAATTCAATATTTTTTGAAGTACCAGGTCAGGAAGACTTGGTCATGTAGGTATCTTATGGATACTGCCTTACAATGGCCATTTGAAGAGTCAATGCTGTGAAAAGTAACCTGAAAGGTTACAGGTTTTTTTTTGTTTTTTTCTAATCCTGTACATCTTCTATACATGTTGACTGTATTTACTGCAAGTTAGTGCAATAAAATTGATATATGGTAAGCAACTGGGATGCTGAACTGGAAGTTAATTTATCAGAAGCCTTGAGTAAAACTAACGATCTGTTGTGCTGGAATCCTTGTCAACAAATGTAATTACTTTATAACAAACATCTATATTAGGATTGTATGTCCTCTTTGCTAAGCAGATTGCTGTATTACCCTGCTCTAAAAGCAGCAGTTTATTTCCCTTCTTGCTTCTCACTTGCCTGGTTAAGGTTCCTCATCTCCCAGCCTGCTTTTGACCAGAGAGAGGCTGGGTTATAGATTAATTCTGCAGCCCATCAATACTATGCCTAAGTTGGCCTGAAAGGTTGTGGAAAGTCACTTGCAATAACTTGGAGCAAGGGACTGCTGGCAAGGTTGTACAGCGCAGTGAACACATGAGAACTATTGGAGAAAAAATTGTAAAAACAGTGTAGCAGAAGAACAAAAGCTGCCTGCTAAATAGTCTAAACACTTCTTCTGAGATCATATGGGTACTGTTTTTTTTTATGGTACAATTTTAAAGTGAAAACAGTTAAAATAGTCAAGCAGTTCTTATTTCAGGCATGCACTTCCCTGTTGTAGGAGCTTTTGTATCTGTTGGTATGTTTAGGACTGAGAATGACTTTTCCTATATTAGGGGAAATTAACTTGGTAGATGCTAAGTTTTAAGGGAAATATCACTTCCTAATCAAACCAATTCTTTGAAATACTTTAGAAATAAACAGTATAAAAGTCTTTCAGTCATTTTCTCTAGTGATTTAACCGACTATTTACATTTACTGTAATGCATTAACTACGTTCAAGCATAAAAGTATCCTCCTTTCCTGAGATGAGTGGTCTGTTCCTGTTACGTCTCCAGTGGGACCACTTATGTACAAAATAGCACTGACTCCCTTCAAAGAGAGCTACACCCATCATGCCTCTGTTAATGGGACTTGCAGTGAAATGAGACTTTTGAGAGAATGAGAATAATTAAAAGTATTGGCCACAAAGGTGGCCTTAAGAATACATTTGAGGAGTATTATAAGTCGAATAGGACACGTTTTATAAAATGCATCCCAGTATGCAGTAAGATTGGTTTCACCTTGCAGTTTGTGTCTGTGTGTGTCGTTGTCTGGGACTGAAATAACATACATGCTCTTTTGCTGCATACAGGCTGTGTTTTAATTCCTTCCATGTACATGCCACATATATAAAGCATTTCCTACTTGGTATGTTTCATTCTGGTGATGCGAGTTCTGCAGACTGCAGTTCTCAGTACATTTAACAGATCTACATTTTTCGAAGCAGACAACAGCCTAGAGAGGATCTACTGTCTCCAAACCGTTGCCATCATGGGCAAATGGTTCTAGAATCCTCTGAGTCAGATGCTAGTGTATACAAAGTGCAATGGCAAATAGCACAAAAGTTTCCAGGTCCTAAAGATACAGAGATGGAAATAGGACAAGGGACTGGGGCCACGAGCAACAGATCCTTACTTAGCCAGGGAATCTTCATCCTGTTTGCTCAGGTTCCGTGTTAGTGGTGTGTAGTTTACTCCGTCAGAGTTGATATTTGGTATCATGAGCTCTGATGTTGTGTACTTTGGGGGCAAGTTGTTTTAACCGCTTGTTTCTTCAGGTGTAAAATGCATGCAGCATTTACCTGCAGGCTTGCTGTGAGATTTGATTGCACTGACTAGAGGAACTGCTAAATTTTCCTTTTCTTGTGAGAGGAGTCAGGGAGAGGTTTTCCTTTCTCTTGTTAAACACCTGACCTTCTGGTTCCGTTTATCATAAAGGTCAGTGTTTTGAATGATCTCTGCATTGTAAGAGGCCCACTTCTTATCGTTGTAATTATTTTGGTCTCAATTAATTAATGTTATGTTATACTTGAAGCTAATGTTTTTGCTTTTTTTTCAGTGTGCAAGGAACCCCCTTACAAAGTGGAGGAGTCTGGCTACGCTGGCTTCATTATGCCCATTGAAGTATATTTCAAAAATAAGGTAGAGTCCAAGGTCTTGTCTAATTGTCTTGAGCTGTTACCAGATAGTGGAGCTATCTGGCAAAAACGGACCTGAATTCTCCGACTCTTTTACATGTATTTGTTTATTACACTAATAAATAGAACTTGACTGTGAGAGTTGGAAGTGGCAGCGAACTTTCTGCCACTTGAGAAAGAAAACTTAGTGTCCGATAACAGGGTGGAGTTCATTTAAATCAAATAGATTGAAATCACTGTTTAGGAAGCCTTGATTTAATCATTGTTTCTACAAAAAGTGCATTTGTGTTGTTTGATATCCTCTATTCCAGGGGTTCCCAACCATTTTATGCTGAGGGCTTGCAAACCATGGACCGGCAAACTGCGGACCAGAAGTGACTGGCATACTGTGGGCAGGCAGCCAACCCTTTTTTATGCTCAGTATAAAAAAAGGTTGGCTGTCGGTCTGCAGTATGCCGGTCACTTCCAGTCTCTGGTTTGCCGGTCCGCAGTTTGCCAGTCCACGGTCACTTACAGTTTGCAGCAGCTAACCCTGTGGCCCGGGAGGTTGGGATCCCCTGCTCTATTCATTTAACTTCTTGAAACTTTGCACTTTTAGAGAGAGGCAAGGCCTTGACTCTACGCACACAAACTTGCAGAGAGACAAGAGTGCTGATCAGTAGGCCTGTGCGAAGCGGCTAGTATTTGCTTCGGGTTCAGCCGATTCGGGGGACAGCAATTTGATTCGGTGATTTGAATCACTGCCCTGATTTGATTCGGCTGAATCTGATTCGGAGATTCAGCAACAGCCGAATCTCTGAATCAGCCAGATCAGGCCCATCCCCCACCCCTCTCCCAGCCCAGCAATGGCCACCCTGTCTGCCCTAGTTCCTGGCACTTTGGGGGGAAGCCCTGGCTCGGCAGGGGGTGATCCCCACTGACCCCCACTGCCCCCTGCTGCATGGTGGGGCTCTGCATGAGCCCCTGAATTCCCCTGCCCACGTGCCCCTCATGGGCCAGCACTGGCCCTTTAAGAAAAAGAAAAAAAAAAAGACCTGAAGAAATCCCAGGGCTCACCACTTCTGCCAGCTGGGGGCAATCCCTGCTGCCCCGCACCATGTGGGGGCTCTGTACAAGCCCCCTGAAGCCCCAAGGCAGCACCAGGAGCGGTGAGTCTTAGGGGTTTTCTTGGCTTTTTTTTTTTCTTAAAGGGCTGGAGCCCTGGCAGGTGGGACCTGTGGGGGGGCCGGGAGAGCGGGGGGGGGGGGGAGGGGGGGTTTGG